ATATACACACACACACACACACACACACACACACACACACAAATACACATATATACAGACATAGGATAGTTTGCTATAGTTACCAAACATAAGAATATCCTATTTTCTTCAGCTTTCATCAGGCTTTACTTTGCCAAAATACATCCATCCCATTTTTCAATAACTAGTTTTAACTACCACATTTCCTCAGTTTTAACGTGTGTGTGTTTAAAGAGACAAGGTCTTGTGTCGCTCAGGCTGGAGTGCAGCAGCAGGATCAAATCTCACTGTGGCCTTTTTCTGTCTATAAATCTTCAATCACTTGGCGCTGCAATCTCTCTGAGCCTGCCTGATTCTCGAACCGTTCTTTGCTGAATTAAACCGTGAAATTTAACTTGGCTAAGATTTTTCTTTTAACACTTCCAACTAACGCTACAGCCTAAAACCTCTCCTGCAAAGTGCTTTTTCAGGTGGTAACATACCAATCCTAACAAGTTTGTGGGGGTAATGGGGAGGAGGGCTAACCCTCTTATTTTCTTTTAGAAAAAGGGTTAGGCACAAGGAGCTCTAAAGGCTTGTCCAAAGTCTGCTGCAAACTACTCAGAACCAGGTCTTCCGGCATCCAATTAATTCCAAGTGGTACTGTATCTGATTACCCCCATTTTCCAAAAGATAGTTTATTTTTTCCTGTTTTCCCCTCCCCACTACACTTCCCACTTAGCCCTTTTTGAAATGCAAAATAACCTCGTCTCTCCCCCTCACCAGACCATTCTCTACAGAGCAAATTCATCTACGTGCTCACTTTTACAACTTATTTCTGCTCGGGAAGGCGCCAACTCAACTGCCAGTAGATAAGGCATCAACTAGCAGAGACTCCCTGCTCTTGTTCATTTCCTCCTCTACCTTATAAAATGCCCGCTTTTTCGCTCCAAAGGCGAAAAACATTTGTGCCGCTTCCCCCAGGCTGGCTTCGGAAATAAAATCCCTCTTCTTGTACCAGGACTCGCTCTTAATTGGTCTCTAAGTGCGGCGTACAATTAACCCGCCTTTCCGTTAGAGCACTCTGAGCCCTGGTCAATCTACATCACAGGATAGCAGAGACCAGCACAGTGACCCCAAGGAAGACTTTTGACTTCACCTTGCCTAAGTCTCCAAAGTCAGCGCCTGCCTCAGGCTCTGGTCTCTTACACTTAAGGATAGTTTGCATCCACTGTAGCAGCGCCTGGCGGTCGGCCAGGGCCACAGCGCGAAGCGGCCGCAGCATCACGACCGGCTTCAGTAGGAAATTTTAGGCTGCAGGAACAAGCTGCGCAGACACCGATTGGCATTGCGCAAGCGCCGGCAGACATCGCCCCACCCTCCGCGGAACACGCCTCTAGTCTGCGATGCCCTGAGCCCCGCCCTCCCACGGAGGTCTCACGTGCGCCCGGGGATCCCTTCCTTCAATCACACCTCCATCTTTCATCTTGCCGCTCTTAGCTGGGAGTGTTCCGCCTACTAACTTTTCTTAAAAAGCCTCGTCGAAGCCTGACTTCTTCCCCGAAATCACGTCCCTAGACAGCCTCCTATTTTACCACTAACTTTTCTACCTCAGTTATTCAGCGGTAGGAAACTGAAACCAAACCCAGCGGAAGCAAACATCTAAATTGTTTCGGTAGACGCGCAAGAGAAACGCAGCAGTGTGTCCCGGAAGCGGAAGTAGATCCTCCTCTAGAGAGGCTGGACTACGCGGAATGGTGACGTTTCCCCATTGGGCGGAAGGTTCGGTGGCACTCGTCGGTCTTCCAGCTGGTGGGAGTTGGCGACGCGGCGCTGGGCGTTGGGACCCTAGTTTATCTAGTTCGGGAAATTGGGTTGTGGGGTGGTACCTGTCTGTCTGCTCCCGGCTTTCTTTGGTTTCTTCCCGCGGCGTGGGGCCTCGCTAAGGAATTCCTGGCCCCTTAGGGCCACGGCGTTAGCGGTGTCTTTTGCGGTAAGTGTCTGCTTTTTCCAGCCCCAGACTATTGAGGGGCAGCTAGGGGCAGCCCCAGCCCTGCTCTCAGGGGGCGAGAGATTCCGGGGGAAGTCGGCCTCCCTCGCCACCGGCCGTAGTTACCGAGACTGAGGTGCTGCTTTATCTCTTGTGGCCCTTCTTTATCTCTTGTCTTCCATGAGAAGTTTTATTAAAAGATTCGCTGTGACCTTTTTAAGTTGTCTTCAGATTTACCTGAGCCAAATAGATGTAGGCAATTGCAGGCCTGAGTCTTCGTTTTGCTTTCCTGAGCAAGAATTTAGATGAGGCTACTTCCCCGAAAATCTTTTTACTTGTACCAGACTTCATTTTCCTATGTGTTTGTAGTGCTTAAGACGACGTCCTGCGTGTAGTAGACGTTCAGTAAATGAATACGAGTATCAGTTCAATGCCAATGGTGATTTAAGATAGACTTGATGGCTCTCTCTGTACCGTTTGACGCTGCTGACCATCCATTTCTTGAAACTTTCCCCTCTTGGCTTTCTTCATGCTATCCTCACCTGATTCCTTTACATGCTTAATTCAACAAAATATATACTTGTTTTTGGCTACAGGGATACAGAAATGAATGACATTAACTCCGCCATTGAGCAGCTAATACACGTAAATATACATTATATCAAGATGGGTAATGAGAAACACTAGTTACATGTAAAGAGCTGTAGGAACTGTTTACATATAAAGAAGCGTAGAAAGCTTTGGGACAGCCAAAGAGCTCCTTAGGTGATTTGTGACCCTGAGCCAGTTGCTATTCCAATCTAGCCTCAATACTCTCATCTACCTAATTGGCTTGTTATGAGGAAGAAAGGAGATTAGGTAAGAGATTTGTTTTGATTTAGTGTCTAGAACATAGCAATGGTGGTGCCAAAGTTTCCCTCAAATCCGTCTCCCTCAGTTTTTTGATATGGCCAGTTGGTGTTTTCTACCTTCGTATAGAGTACTATGCAAAAGCATCTTCAAGCCTTCCTTCCAGATTACTCCCTTTAATCCCATCTATTTGGAAATCCTGGACCGGCCACAGGATTACAGTAAGATAACCATAAATATAGCCTTTTAAAAACTGATTTTCTTCTGTGTACCCTGGAGAAAGGGAAAGGGAATTAGTAAAACCTTTGGTTATTTTCAGTCTTAGTTAACATTCTCCTTTTAGTTGGCCCTTAGTCATTGCTGTAACCCAAATGGCCTTCCACAGACTCTCCTTAAGTCTTCTCACTTACATCCATGGCTTCCATGGCATTGTCCTTATATGCCAACCATTTACAAACCTATTCTTTTCGTTTCCAAGCCTTATTCTTTTCCAAACCTTATTCACTCTGTCGCTCAGACTCAAGTGCAGTGGGGCCATCTCGGATCACTGCAGCCTCTGCCTGCCAGGTTCAAGTGATTCTCCTGTCTCAGCCTCCCATGTAGCAGGGTTTGCAGATGTCTGCCACCATGCCCAGCTAATTTTTTGTATTTTTAGTAGAGACGAAGATTTTACCGTATTGGCCAGGTTGGTCTTGAGCTCCTGACCTCAAGTGATCTGCCTGCTTCAGCCTCCCAAAGCGTTAAGATTACAGGTGTGAGCTACCATGCCCAGCCTACACTTTATTCTTTAGCCTCCCTCTTGTGAAGAATAGTTCTGTACTTCCCCCTAAAACCTGCAAACTCAGTAGGTCCAAAACCAAATGTGCTGTCTTCACCTTCCTTTTTTTTTTCATTGCGACGTGTGTCATGCGTACAAAAGTATATAAAAGCAGTGATTCTCAGTGCATTTTTTAGTTTTGACCTCTTGTGAGTTGAAATTTGTGATATATGTAGGTTAAATTTTAGAAAGGATAATAAGGGCTGTGAGCAGTGGCTCATTCCAGTACTTTGGAGGGTGAAGCTGGCAGATTGCTTTAGCTCAGGAGTTCAAGACCAGCCTGGGTAACATGGTGAAACCCCCCTGTCTTTACAGAAAATACAAAAATTATCTGGGCATAGTGGTGCCACCTGTAGTCCCAGCTAGTTGGGAGGGATAATAAAATGAACATGAATATCTGTGTACACTTCCATCATAAAAAGTAAAACATTAAAAATAATTTAGTTCCCTTTGATCTTTTCTCTATTAACTCCTCTTTCTGACGTTGAAACCACCTTCTCTTTTTGCCTTCCATTCATTGGTTAATGGCATCACTAGCCACCTGGTTATAAAAACTAGAGATACTGTAATCATTTTTGCCTTTTTTTTTTTTCCTTCAGTCACCATAACCATTTGGTCATTAGATTCTGCCTCATGACCTAGCCCTTAACCCTGGTTTCGTCTTCTGTTTCTCTACTTCAAGCCCACGTCTTGTCTCAACTAGCCTTATGGAGTATGGCTAGTGCATGTAGTGTCCTGGCTGTTCAGTTTTTTCCCTCTAAGGTGTTGCACTGTCTCTGAAGATGTTTTTAAGGTTGAGAACAGATTTCTTATTCTCTGGTTTTCTTTGGGGCATGTTATTAAATATTTAATGTAGTGATTATGAACCCTGGCTGCATATCAATATCGCTAGTGAAAGTTTTCAAATCATAAATGCCTTGTTTTGCTCTCCAGATTGAGAATGTAGATGAGGCTAGTCCCCCTAAAATGTTTTTACCTTACTATCTTTGGAGATTCTGATTGAGCATTTAATTTTTAGCTGATAAGCATTATCTAAATGTCATTGAAATAACCCATTGCTTGAGCATATGCCTCTTATCCCTTCTTTTCCTTTTTTTTTTTTTTTTTTTTTTTTTTTTTTTTTTTTTTTTTTATTAAACTGGTTGGACAGTTATGGAGAGATGACGGCTCACCATAAACTCTGACTCCTGGATTAAGTCAATCCTGACCCTTACTTGATGTGCTTATTTATTGCTGAATTTAAAATTTTATAAAAATACTTCTTCATATAGCTCATTCCAATTTTTTTTTTTTTTTTTTTCAGTCTTCCTTTTTCTTTTCAACTTTAAGGCCAACCATTTCCAATGAATTTTTAAAAATTTTCATTTTAATTTTCCTCTTGGCAGCATTTTATGTAAAGATTCTTTTTTATGGTTGACTTCATAGCCAAAAAGTATCATAAAGAAATGATCCCCAGTGTTTTTGAGTTATGACTAATTGATTGATTGCTAATTGATTTTTTTTTTTTGGCATAACTTTTTTGCTGCTAAACTCTGAATTGGTGCTGTGTTATTATTTTAAATATCAAAATGAGTTTAAAAATTTGAAAAACAATTACTTGAATGAAGAGAAAATTGCTTGATACTTCTTGATATAATTGATTATAACCTTTGGTTCTAAATTAAAGCAGAGGTGGTATGATGCATAATTTATGTTTTGAAGGGAGTCTTGTGTTAAACCGTTGTATTTGATTAGGTGTTAGAACTTCTCTCATGCTGGGACAACTTCTGGATTACAAAGTAGGTGTTTAATGAATGAGTAAATGAATGCAGGTGGCAACTCCATCCCAACCTCTAGTCTGTTGACTAGTTGCACTCTAATGCTCAAAAGGAGCACTTTGGAAAATAATTTTCCCTTGACTTAAAAAATAATACTCTCAGTCATTACTGAAAAAAAGTAAGAAAACAAAAATTGCTAGTTATTCACCATCCAGATATGACAAATGTTATTTTAACAGTTCATTAAAATATAATTATTGGCCTGGAGCTGTGGTTCACACCTGTAATCCCAGCACTTTAGAAGGCCAAGGTGGGCAGATCACACAAGGTCAGGAGGTCAAGACCATCCTGGCTAACATGGTGAAACCTCATCTCTACTAAAAATACAAAAACTTGGCCGGGCATGGTGGCATGCACCTGTAGTCCCAGCTACTCGGGAGGCTGAGGCAGGAGAATCACTTGAACCTAGGAGGTGAAGGTTGCAGTGCACTGAGACGGTGCCACTGCACTCCAGCCTGGGCAACAAGAGCAAAACTCCATCAAAAAAAAGAAAATGAGTAAAAGATATAAAGAGACATTTTACCTAAGAAAAAAAAAAAAAATATATATATATATATATATATGTATATGTATGTATATATAATTCTTATACAGTTCACCTACAGTATACAATTTTAAAGGATTTTATTGCCTACTGATACCCCATTGTATTTTATTCCACATTTTACTTATCCATTTATAAGTTGAAGGATATTTGGATTGCTTATACTTTTGGCTATTATGAATAATGCTGCTATGACCATTCATGTATAAGTATTTGTTTGGATGATATCTCATTAAGATTTTGATTTATAATTCCTTGATGGCTAATATTCCTTTTTTTTTTTTT